GGAGGTTTTTTAGGGCATTTTTAATGTTTTTTAGTTATTTATAGTTTTTAGCCATCTTGGAGAGAATTGTGTTTTTTCTTTTTTATTGTGAGCTGCCCTGAGTCACCTGTGGGGAAGATGGGCGGCATACAAGCCGAATAAACAAACAAACAAACAGGGAGACTGAGTTCTAGTCCTGTCCTGGACATGAAGCCAGCTGGGTGACTTAGGGCTGGCCATTCTCTCTCTGCCATAGGAAGGAGGCAATGGCAGACCACTTTCAGGAGTCAACCCTGACTCAAAGGCACAAAAAAAGTGAGTTGTTTTACCCAAATGCGATATAGAGAGGGTTTGTATATAGGCATTGGCTGTAGAGTTTAACAGTTGAGACTGATATGTGGTATGAAGTGAATAATGTACACTGAAACATCAATTTTCTTCCTTCTTTTTAAGCTGGAATGTCTAATGCAGTTAGTGAGAGCTGGAGCAACAGTAAATGCCTGTACAACACGTTTTGCGCAAACACCAGCCCATATTGCTGCTTTTGGAGGACATCCTCAGTGTCTCATCTGGTTAATTCAGTCAGGGGCCAACATAAACAAGCAGGTATCAACCTTTTTTTAATCTTCTAAATGCTATTCTACAATTGTGAGACGATGTTAATCTCAAGAAGATCCATAGGTGCTTTCAGATACAGCTGTCTTCATACAATCTTTGGGGTGCTTGCAGGTTCCAAGTCATGTTGGAGATGAAGACTTTGCCCTCTGTGTCCTTTGTGTGCATATTCTTATACCTTGCCATATAGAGTTACTGTGTCTTATGGAAGTTACTAGCTGTATTCAGTTAGAGAGAAGTCTCTGTACTGATGAATCATTGTATAGGTCAGTGAACAAAAAGATTGTTCTATTTGCAATGTGAGTAGAAGCTCCTTTTAGCACAGGTCAGAACTGAGGATGTAGACCATGCACCCATCTCCAATCATTCTCTCTTTACATTCTGCAGAAGAATAGAGTATATTGTTGTTTCAGTATATATTTAATGTAATTCTTCCTATAACCCTGAAAATATTTGAAAAACAGCTTAAAAACAAAATTACAGTCCAGGGTAAAACTAAAATTAAATATTGGAAGATACTGTTTTAAGCAATAAAATCTCAGATGTATCACTAAATAGTATTCATTGTATTTATACTCTACATTTTAATCAAAGTAGACCCTGAAACTTCAAATGTACTCCTGGAGACTTTTCTGCCTCTGTTGTTAGTGATTTTGTTGAGTTGTCTCTCTTGGTTGGTCAAGTCAACCAGGTTCTATCTGACTCTGTGGTTAAGGGAAGTAGTCAGTGTCACTAGCAAGGCAGAATATAAATTAATGGAATGTATTAATAAATCTTCTGGTAATTCATCACGATTCTGCTTGTCCTAGCCAGATAATTATATGCAGCCTTGTACCATAGTATAGTTAACTGTGAATATTTCTCTTTGCTAGGTGATATCATCCAGATTACATTTCTGTTATCTTTAGCCTAAGAATCCTTCATTGAAGTCATACATAGTTTGTATTAATTTGCTATGTTTTTGCTACAGGATTATGTTGGTGAAACTCCTATTCACAAAGCAGCCCGATCTGGTAGTATGGAATCCATAACTGCCCTTGTGGCTCATGGAGCTCAAATAGAGTAAGTAAGGTTGGGGGATATTTTCAGTAGATGTATGTCTAGTTAACTAACATAGAGCAGTAAACTCAGGTATTAACAAAGAAATCCAGAGTAGTGGACAACGTTGAAATGATTTTAGTTAAGATAGGTTGAGCTACGCAAGTGCTAGATATTTATCATGTCCTTTGACTTTAGCACCCGCAGTGCACATTTACTCATTGTAGTCATTAGAATTCCTGTGTAAGTGTGCCTAAAGTGATAACAGTGTCTGTCATATAGGAAACATTGTGTATGTGTGTGTGTATATATATATATATGTGTGTGTGTGTATATATATATATATATATATATATTATATATATACA